ATTCAGTTCTGCAAAACTTGGTTGCCCTCAACCTCTGAGCCTCATATTATAGCTTGCTTTTGCATTGAACTAGATTTCCTTCTCTTTTTTACTTTCTCCTTTTTGGTCAGCTGAGGCAAGACTTTTCCCAGAAATGTTTCCATGACTCCTAAGACAAGACTATATTTCTCTGCGAAAATCATCAAGGCTTCTAAAGCTAGGATTATCCCTTCTTATCCAATTTAGGCACTGTTGTAAGTGGTTGTGTGTCCGTATTCCTTTCTTGACTAAGAGTTCCATGAATGCAATGGCTCTATCTATTATTCCACGGTTACGTTTCCTGGAATCCATGACATTGCTTTCTACATCATTAAATACTTTTTGAATAAAAGAAAAAGAATGGGGGCATCGGATTGCTCATCAGGGAACAAGAGAAGTGCTTAACTAGACAGACTGAACAAATACAGCAAGTGATTGGGGTAGATGGGCACCTTGGGGAACACTTAGGAGCCCACACTTAATTCTTGGTATACTGAACACCAGGTTTAGGGCATTTAAGACCTTCCAGAGGGAAAACCGAACTAAACCCAAGAAGTAGGAACAGCTAGCCAGACTTGACTTGTAAATCTTAGCAAGTTACTTATAGAGATTTGTTGAGATCATTTGGACAAAGTTCTTGACATGGTCACTAGGTTTATTTTTTACTAAGTCCTAGTGCTGTGTTGAGGGCTATGGAGAATGAAGGAATGCTGGTGGTGGCAGTGCTGTTGACAAATACTTCTGAGTACTTTCCCTAACTGACATTTTTCAAATCCTACAGAATTCTCTTACTGAATCCTGTGATACCCTACCAAGTTTCTTTTTTCACTGTCACTTTATGAGACAAGCAAATCATGGAGAGGTTGACTAACTTGTATAAAGCCAGAGCTGAGTAAGATTCAGCGTCTGAACATTTTTCTTTCTTTTTTGGGAAGCTTGGGGGTGCGAGGACGTGGGGATGTGTATTAGGGATTGAAATCTCTCTCATGTACGCATAGTAGCTGCAAACCACTGAGCCACATTCCCAGTCCTTATTTCTGATTAATTGGTGATTCAACTACATAGCCTTTTATTTGTTCGTAATATATTATTGGGGTAGTGGGAGGCACAGCTGATGGTGTTGAAGGACTACTCCTTTGCTCATGGTGGTGTTTGGGTTTGAGAGGTACTGGGGATCTAATCTATGCTCATGTATACAAAGCAAGTGTTCTGTCCATTGGACTATCTCTCCCACCTATTTCCTACTTATATCTTCCCCATGGCAATATAAAATGTTTACATTTGACGATTTGTGGAATCCTTTAGATGTGAGCAACATTAAGTATGGTGTAATGAATATTTAGTGTAGAACAACATTGCCACGTATCTCGCCCGCACGGCAGAGCCTGGCAAGCTCCCCGTGACGTATTCAATATGCCAAACACAGTAACAACAAAGTCTCCAATGGAGACGTTACTGGGCCCGCTCAAGCAAATATATATATATTCCTCAGGCCAGGTTACCGAATGTAACCTGCCCACACAGCAGAGTCTGGCAAACTCCCCGTGCCATACCCAGTATGCCAAATACCCGTAACAATGATGGTTCTCATTCTCCTAACTCTGAAAGAGCCTTGAATTTGGCACTTTTTAAAAATTCTCAGGGCTAGGATGAAGAAGACGTTACTGGGGCCTGCTCGAGGCAATCAACAAATAACAGGATGGTCCTGATCTTGATCTTGAACATTGCCACAGGGAGCTTAGGTTTATCGGGTTACATCCATCACAGTGCTTCAAGAGTCACTCCCATTCCTCTGTTTATCTGTAAACTCTTCTCTGTGCTCTCCTCCCCAGCCAGTTAATCACCTTTTCTCCCTAATCAGATTCTGTTAGCTTGTAAGATTAGATCCTTTTAAGGACACTGAACTTGTATTCTAAGTTATGTACTTTGCATAGTTTACCTTACTCCTGGGCATCTGCTTTCTTGACTCAGTTCCCCCTAGTTCCTAGCACCCCAAAAGCAGGGTCCCGATGAGGGACTGAATGGACCCAGAGCAAGCTGTGAGCTACCCTGGCATTGAAATGGGCCAGGCCAAAGCGCCACGATACTCAACTATAAGTTGAGGGCATGATCATGGACAAATGCTGTCATGATCCAAAAATAAGTAACGACAAGACTAGGACCCTGCTAGGGCTAGGAAGAGTAACCTGGCCTGAGGACTATAATATATATATATTTATATATATATATTATGGCTGGAGCGATATGTCTATATCTATATCTATATATCGGAATATATAGTGAGATGTCCTCAGGAAGAACCAAACTGTAAGTTTATCTCTTACTGTGCTCATACAGAATGACATTGCTAGAAATATTAGAAGTAGACTTACTACAACTATTTAAGTAGATTACTAGCTAAGGAAAGAATACACCCTTTTTGGGATCCCACCCTTGAGCAGATCTCCTAGTAATCTGAAATAAAACTCTTTAGATGAGATTTAATCCTTGAGTTGATTTCCTCGAGGAGTGGTTTTACCTCTCTTTGCTGATTTGTTAATGTTCAACCCACCTTTGTATCACCACCCTACATGATTGCTATATAAACTAAGACTGTAAGCTTGAAGTGAGCTTGGGCTCAAGAGAGCAGAGACTGAGACTCAGGCTGAGGCTCGGGCAGAGGCTCAAACTGAGGCACGGGCTTGGGCTCGGGAGCTTGGGCTCCAGAGGGCAGAATCAGAGGTGAGAGTGAAGATTGGAATAAACTACAATTGATACCAACCAGCCTGGCCCTTGTTCGTTCCTTCACCTGCCCATCGCCATTGACCTCCCTGGGGTCGGGGAAACAGCTCGAGACTATGGAACGCGGGGCGGCAGGAGAGATAGAGCGCCGGACCTTCTGAAAACACACAATTTAGTACAAGGCTTTCCAAAATAGTGCTGTCTATAATTTGATATCCATGCACTTGAACATCTTACTGAGGGGATTAAGAAAAACAAGGGTAAGTAGAAGGGTTATAGCAGAATCTTCCAGAGCAGCCACACCCTTGCAGATTATGCAGCAGTAGGCTGTGAGATGTCCTAAATGTTCATTTTTTAAAGGTAATACAGTCATTCTCAGAATCCATCTGTTCCCATGAAACAGATTCCAGGTTATCTAGGTCCATGGTAGATTTTCAAGTGAGCTAAGACCCTCTTATACACACTATTTCTGAAATCTCTAAATTGAAAAACAAATATAACTCAGAGGCTATTGAAGAAAAACGACATTTGTCTTTTGAGGAGAATTGTATCAACATCAGAAACGTCAAGTCCCTGTTTTTTAAGTTAATTAAAAGTAAGTTTGGATTCATTGACTCTTTAAGAAGATCCATTGTTTATATTTAATTGTCTAGAATCAATTCCAGCTTTGTTTTTGCTCTTGTTGAAGGAATGAAGTCTCTGGGATATGAGAAGCCTTAGAAAGAGAATGTTTCCAATACAAATTCTCTTCACTTTTGATGGTTTGCAAGGCCCGCTTGTCCTAAGGATTCAAAGAATGAGTTTTCTCCTTTTCAACAAGTGATTGCTGCATTTTATACACAATGAAATAAAGGGCAAAGTTATCTGTATATATTAAAATACTCTCCTTGATCTCAAAATGTGCACCTGTTATTCTTGATGGTCAGATTAGGCTGCTGTTGCTCTAGTCACTTTATTAATGGAGCGTGGATAAACTTTTTACTTCCCAACAGGTTTGCTTGCCACAGAACCATGCATCACTCAGGAACAACAGGCTGGCCTTTGGGAACTTGGGCCCTGGACAAACCCAAGGGTGTCACCCTTGCTACCCTGGAGATCGCCACCCTTGCCTCCAGGGGATTCTAGCAACAACTGGTTCTACCTGATCCAGGATCTAGCTTGACAAAAATAAACACTACTGAAAAACAAAATAAGGTCATTTTAGAGTCAGGAAATTATCAAACACCCAGCCAAGGAGTCAAGATTTGAGTCCTGCTCTACAAGTCACCAGGAACGTCTTAATATTCGTGTCCTTTGTTTCTTCTTCCTAATTTAGGGCTCTCTTTGAGAGCATCTGCAGATCTGGTCCAGGATTGGGAAGAGAAGTTGAAAGAGGTGACTGGGACTTTTCAGTTCCAACAAACCAGGAACCAACCGATCTTCTTTTCCAATCCTCAGAAGAGCCTTGGGTGTCTCGCCAAGTCAGCCAGGTTAGCTGGACTTTGGCCTCCTGACCCAGACAGGCCCAGGGGCGGGAGGAGAGCACGGGGCCCGAATCCCAGCGGCACCGCCCCCAGGCGCCCGTCCGCCAGGAGTTCGAGGCCTCCCTGGTCCGGATATGATGAAAAGGAGCCACAGAGGGAGAAGTGTTTCAGGAGCGGAGGAGCGGTGGCAGGGGACGTGCGGCCCGGGGTAGCGGGGGGAAAGTCCCCGCGGCGGGGGAACTGGCCCGAGTGAGCTGGCTGGAAAGAGGGGGCGGAGAGCGCAGAGTCAGAGCCGCCGCCGCGTTACTTGCAGTCACAGCGGCGGAGTCTGGGCTGAGCCCGGGGGAGGCGTCCCGGACGTGCCGGGGCGAGATGCGGCGGCTGCCCCAGCCTCTCTAACTTTCCGGGGACCGCCGCGGAGCAGCAGGCAGAGAGTAATTGGGGGGATGCCCAGGTAGGTAGTGATCTCTTGGGCTTTTTGCTCTCTTACCCTTGATCACCCCCCTCCCTTCCTTCCTCCCTCCCCACCCTGTACCCCCCCTCTACCCCCAGCCCCATGCAACTCCCTTCTAGCACCAATGCTCTGCTCCCCGTGGACCCTGGCACCGTGCAGCAGTGCTGCCGTCCACTTCCCGGGAACAGTTTTCCTCGCCAGTTTCAAATCACAACTTCCCCGGGGTGGGGTTTTGCTTCTGGGAGGGAAGCGGAGGGGGAGGGACCGTCCCACCGGGGGTGGTGGTGTAGGCTCGTCTCCGAAAACACTTTTTTTTTTTCTCTCTCCTCTCTCTTTTCCGCCAGAAACCGTCGGTTCCCCGCAGCCCGCGCTTAGCAGCTCCGTCGCACGTCCGCCCGCGGGGCAGTGAGCGTGGCCGGCGGCTGGGCGCGCGGGCACCCGAGCGGCCCATGTCCAGCGCGGGCGAAGCGGCCGCTCCCGGGCCAGCGGCGGGGCAGCACTGCGCGGCCCAGGCGGGAGGCGGCCGGCTGGGGGCCCCGGCCCAGGGTGAGTGCGCGCCGGCAAGCTGCAAGCGTTGGTGGTGGCGGGGAGGGCCTGGTGGCATTTCAAGACGCGTTCAGCCCGGTCACGGCCGAGGGAGGAGGCCAGGAGGACGGCGGTGCTGCAGGACGGATTCCTGCCTCGGCGCTGGGGTGAACTTTTGCATAGTTAGCATTACTCTAGCGAGTTCTCCAGGATTCCTGTCTTGGATCAACAACAGGATAGAGAGGGCGGGATCCCCGGGCCCCTCTCCACTACCTCCCCCTCCCCGCTGGCCTTTGGCTGCAGAGACTGGTTGACAAACTTGCTTCTTTCTCCAGCCTATGCATTTGGGGCGAGGGTGGAGGTGTGTGTGTGTGTGTGTTTGGGGGTGGGGGGATGTTCGGGGGGCGAGGGCTGCGGAAACTCAGAAGTGGGTTGCGAAGCTTTCTGGTGCAATTTCAAGTCCTGTCTTCTTGGAGTTGTCGCCGCTCCCAGGAGGAGCACGCGCCCTGGGTTCTGTGCGCTTCTGTGCCCAGGCTCAGTTGAGAATCTAGGTTTCTGAAATCAGCCGTTTTTGGGAATGGCTCTTGCATACGTTTTCAATAACTGTTTTGCTTTGAACCAGAAAAAAAAAAAAGACAACCCCCAAAATCCCTCCAAACCCAAACCCAAAACATGCTTTAGAAGAAACACTTTCCAAGAATGAATGAGCGCCTTGTGTTCTTCCAAAGTGTAAACACATACAGCCAATAAAGAAAAGCCTCTTGTTTTTAAGAAACTTCTTAACAAGCTTGTAAACAAGTCCGACAATGCTTTTCTTCTCTTCAAGGTACTATGCTTGGTTTCTCTCTGGTGACAGCGAGCCAGGCCTCGCAGTCTTCTAAGTACCGCTTTTATTTATGAAGATCTGAGACTGATGAAAATAAAGTAATTTTCCGGGGTTTAGAAGCCTTGATTCATAGTCTTGATTCTAAGCGTATGTTGCTTACAGTAATTATTAGTATCTACTGATAGCCTTTTTACTTTAGCTATTATATAGATAGCTTGGTATTCTTTTAAGGCAGGATAAAGTAGGAAAACAAGTACAAAGGGTAAACAGCAGAAAACTCGCCCCCTCGCTCCTGGTTAAATTAAAAGGTCCTGGCCTCCAGGGCTGTTAAACTGAATTATGTTTATTATTGTCTATTGTCTCTGAATAGTGACTCATTATTTTCTAAACAAAAAAAAAATATCACAAGTGATAAACATCAGCCCCATCCCTGCAGACCATGTTTTGCACATTGTTTTGTCCATACTCTCATTTTTCTGTCTTTAGGCATGCCCTCAGTGGATAAGTAGATGGGCTTTCTAAGCCACAGTTGAGCTGTTAATCACAGTTTTTGAGTTAATGCTTATGTCACCGACCAACATTCATGACACTGGAAAAACAATGACTTTGGAAACAGTTGATATTTATAAGATATACTCTAACAGTGTACATTTTGAAAACTAAGCCAGAACTTGCAGTAGACTTGGGAGGTACAAAGTTCCATGGTATCATGTGATCTGACTTTTAAGATACAGTGCATGTGGAGTGTTCTGAAAGAGAACCAAAAGAATGGTCTCAGTATATACTTGGCAGTGTGAAAATGCTTTATCTAAGTTGTATTTTACCTGAAAATTGACATGGCTTTAGAATGTGTTATTATATTGTTTTTCTATTAAATACTTATCTAAAAGCACTCAGAATTTTGTAGAAATATTGTGTCTCAATATAATTAGGTTTCATAATGCAGTATACATATACATGTGCATATATGTACATGTACACATATAGACATGTATGTTTATGAGTGACTAAAGTAGGTAGGGAGTTAAACTTCAAAAGTTAGTAGCTTTCCATGTTTTGGTTGACTTCTGGGTAAAGGCATTAGTGAAGGTTTGCCTGCCCCCCACTTATTCGTAAGATCTTCTTCAAGTTCTTTTACCATTTTCCTTTTCTCTGGATTCTTTGTAATCTTTTTCTGTTTCCTTTTTTTTTTCTTGTTTTTTTGGTGACACCTGGCGATGCACAGGGCTTAACTCCTGGGTCTGCACTCAGGAATTGCTCCTGGCGGTGCTCAGGGGACCGTATGGGATGCTGGGAATTGAACCCGGGTTGGCCGCATGCAAGGCAAATGCCCTACCAGCAGTGCTATAGCTCCAGCCCCTGTCACCATTTTTAAAAGAATGCAGTGATAGTAGTATATTTTGCTGAGTTTGTTGATTCTTAATTTAAATATTGAAATAAGTGAGGGAAAAATGGAATGTTATATAGAAGTTAATAGATTAACTTAAAGAAGTTAATAATTCAATAGAAATATGGTCATGAAAAGGAAGGAAAAGATCAAATCTTTCACTGAAAAGTTAAATGTACAAAAAGATGCACAATAAGACATTCACTATAACCTAAACATTTTTCTATGTTGTGATGTTGTGACTCTATACTGAGCCACGGAACTTGAAACTTGGGAAAAACTCTAGGAAAGTTTTAGTCTGAAATGTCCATCAAGGACAGAATTCCCTGCTATGTTCTTTTAGGTAGGTAGGTAGAAACTATATTCCATTCACCACGTTCAGAGTTATGAAGGTGTGCCCTACTCAGGCTTCATAATTATTTCTAAACCTTCTATCCATTTTTTGTGCTCCAACAAGCAAAATTCTATTGCTTTGAAGGCATTAACAATCATCTTTAGGGCCAAAGACATAATCCAACAAGTAGGAAATTTTTCTTGCATGCAACTGACCCAGATTTGATCCCTGGCACCACTGTGGTCCTCCAAACCCTTTGAAGAGTATTTCCTGAGCATTCATTCTGGAATAATCCCTGAGCATGGCTGGTGACTCCCAAATAGAAAAAAATATCTTCTTTAATGCGCTGGAGAGATAATACAGTTATAGAATATTTTCTTGCATGCAGCCAACCCCTGTTCTTTGTGGTCCCGTGAGTACCACCATGAATAGTCCTTGATCACAGAGCCAAGAGGAGTAAGTTCAGAGCACCATTGGGTGTGGCTCCCAAACCAAATAAGTCTTATACCTAGCCATAATTCGTATTCTCAGGTTGATATAGATGGTGGAGGGTAACGAGTAAAGGAAATTGGGAATTTATGACAATCCAGATTTAAGAGATAGTATATCTTAGTATATCTTAGTTCTAGTTTATTGTTGCTAGTTTGGTTAACATTTTCCAATATTTCACTACTATTGAAAAATTTTTGATTTTTTTTTTTTAGTGTTTCTTTCCTTTTTTTTTTTTTTTTTAAGGTTTCTAAATAATTGCATGCAGTTTCTGTCCAGGTCAAACAAAACACCTACACCTGTAGGCTTGAATTTACTGCTAAATAACTGATTTGTAATCTCTGACACAGAAACCAGAAAGTGTATATGATGGTAAACAATTTCCCTGTGTATGATTAATTTATGGAAGAGTGATTTAATTTGTTCCTCTTGCAAAGTGTCTGTGTATTAGTGTTTTTAGAGGTGAAGGCAAAGTTTGACTATTCTTTTTTCTTTTGGTTTTTGGGCCCTACTCCCTGTGCTCAGGGATTACTCCTGGCTGTGTGCTCAAAGGACACTCCTGGCAGGTTTATGGGTCTCTATGGGATGCTGGGAGTCGAACCTATGTATGCTGTGTGCAAGGCAAGCACTTTAACCACTGTATTTTCTCCCTAGTCTCTTGACGTTTATTTTTAACGGAATATATGGTGTGTACTTCCTGATGGTCATAATTTTCCTTCTTTCTTTTTTGTTAATGAAGTATTACAAAATTCATTATGTTTTCAAAAAACATTGACAATTTAGGTATTAACTAAATGGTGTGGTTGTGATTAGGATTCATCTGGTCAAAAGATCCTTTTTATTTAGTGCTTCATTAAAAAAAATGTGGCACGCCACTAGTAGGACGTTGAGAAATAGTTCAGTTAAACTCACTAACTTTATAGAGGGACATCTAAAAAATGTAAGTGACTTGCATAAGGTCTCATACACAGTGAGCAGAAATGAGGGTAGAAGCACAAATTGCAGAATATATGTCATTGTGATAAATGCAGTTGGAGTAGAGAATCAATACAGCTTTTCCATACAGATGGATGCATCAAAGATAATAGGCTTCGGATAGTGTGCATCATTTGAAACTGATCTTGTTTCTCTCTCACCCTCCCACCTCCCACTCCATTGCATTTGCCAAGATTTAGACAGTTGGACTGTGAGTGCTGGAATGTACTTTAATGTGATAATGTGTGATTTAATGCACTCTTCTCTCTTGGGAGAGTCCTTTGAGACTATTAGGCGGACTTTTCATAGCAGGATGCAAAATGCCAGTGAAGTTAATTAAAAATAATTTAAAATAGAGGCTGGGGAGAAAATCTTCATGGTGAAATTATATAAGAAGAGCTTTGACTTAGAAGCTTAGCCGAGTTGTCAGGAGTTTATAATGGCTAATCAGATTCCCTTTTGTGGGATGCCTGTTTATTTTATTAATACATTATATTCATGTAGCAGCCATATTCGTCTGCTTTTTTTGTGTTTGATCCGTTTGATTAAGTCTGATATTTATCAAGGTATGTTGTGTTGGAACAGCTTTTCTTTCTTAAAGAGACACCCCTTGGGGTCTTTTGCCCTCCAGGAGATATTTGGCACAGTCTGGGGTCATGATTGGTGATCCTAACAGGAAGAAAGTAGGTGCATTTTACAATGTATGCATAGGACATCCCTCCCTCCCCCCATTGCCCCTGTGACAATTGGGCAGAATTGCCAGGCCTTGAATGTCAGTAGTGATGTGCAGGGGACACTGCTCGCTCTCCATTGCATTTAGGGCTCTATCTCATCTACATAAATAACTCTCTGAAATTAAAACTCATGAATTTGAAATTTAAACAAAATTTGGATTTTCTAGAACTCTGCAAATGAGTGTTTTAGAGATTGTCTGTAGATTAGAGATTGTTATCTGGAGAAAGACATATTTTACTGATCCATTCAAAAAGATTTATTACCTTTTTGAAGAG